CAGGAAATTCCAGAGATCTAGGAAGCATGACCCACGAGTTACATCCTTGTTCCTTATATGGCATGACAAAACAGCTCTAGGCTTGTTCCTTTGCCTTAGCTTCCTTTTACATTGCTGGTCAACCTCAGTTTTAAGCTTTAACTATCCTTGAAATAGCTTACCAAGCTCTTCTGTCCACTGTGCCACCATGTCCACAAACATTGCTATCACATTGCCTCCATTAAGTGATGCTGCCACTGCCAAGTAGTCACCATTGAAGTAGGGAAAATAAGTAACAGCTGAGGAAGGATCTGGTGTCTCTGGAGGCTGGAAACCCGGGGGCATTGAAATAGTCAGTTGAGCAGAGGTACTGATATTAAGAACTAGAATACAAAAGAAAAAAAAGAAAAAAAAAATCATTTTACTAAGCTACTCTGAAGGAAGAAAATGAGAAAACAAAGTAAGATATCAAAATTATCATACCTGCATCAGTCCTCTCAGTCAGACAGGAATAAACAGAGCACTGGAAATCTCCCAGAGCAATTCCTACTTTTGCTCCTTTGGGTATTCCATGCCATGCAGAGATTGTCCTGCCTGCAATACTGCCAGGGTCTCCCACCTCTGGAAGCAAGTGAACAGGAAAGCTGGATTTTTTCAATCTGCAACAGAACAACATTACTGCAGGAAAGCAGTATGGGAATGTGTGGCATGACTGCAAAGACCTCTTTGAAGTCACAGATTAACCTGGCCATACCTCTGTGGCTGCTGGATTTATGGATGCTTTCACTTATTTAGAAAGCTTTCTCTTAGACAGGGGCAGCACTCCAGTTCAATGGGCTGGGTAAACTAGAATAGTCTAGAAGAATAAATAGCTTTCCTTTATATACAATCTGATTCCCTCAGATTATACAGCAGTACCTGTTCAACAAGTTTAACCTACTGATATCATATGAACAAGGAGTTTCAGGGTAAAGGGGCAACCACAAAAACAGCAAAAAAATGCAACTTCTAAGTGTCAAAGAACTTCAAGCTATCATGCAGTTAGTGGTTCAAAACCAAATCATGAAGTTAAGTCCAACAAACTCCTTACACAATCAAACTGCAAGATACAGTACATTGCTACAGCAACACCACCAGATTAGTAGAAGTTCAGTAGGCCAAATGCAAGTTTCTGTCACTCTTTCATACCTTCATGAGCAGATTTTTTTCCATCTTGGATACCTGGCCTAAGCTAAGCCCTGAAATATATAAGGCCTTAGCACTCAGCCCTGAAAGAGCAAATCATTAAAACAAATAAGTAAATAAATAAACAAGCTAATTCCCAGTAAGACTTCCTGTAACCTAATAACTCTTAGGTATTATCATCAGTAAGTCTCAGTAGTTACGAAGGAACTCAGCTGAAAGAACTAGAGAGCAATAACTGCCCTCTACCATCACAGAGGTAACACCTTGGCTGCAGCACGCACTTGCTCATCCCATCCCACCACAGAAAGGGAGAGAACAGTTTGGTATACAAGGCCTCACTGATGAGTCTCTCAGCTCCGCTCTCTTAGGTATTTCTAAAAATACTGTGCCAGATTTTATGTAATTTAAACAAGTATACCTTACAAACCAGAGCAAACTCTCAATAGTTCTTAAGTACAGGCTACACCACAACTGATTAGGAGTCACTTTCAATCACTTTTTATCTGTAGCATGTTCATACTTAGGGCCCAAAGAGGTGTTCACATTGCCTGACACAAGCAACGCACAAACCCCACGGAACAACCTTAGCACTTACACGTCAGTATTCCAGCTCTTGTTTCTGCAATTAAAATATCCCCAGCTGGCAGCATTCTGGACAGACATGAGTGGCTTCTTCAGGTCACACAACATGGCAACCACATAGTCATGGATAGTGCCGGCTGCATCATAAGACTTCAGAAAATCTGGACTTTTACACAAAACATTTTAAAAAGAAAAACAATGAGGGGTGCTTTAAGGCAGTGGGAGCAAGATTACTTCCATTCCTACAGGGAACTTCAGACATGTGGTTCCATCTAAAAATGAAACAGCCATCTCAGTGATCAACCTGCAGTTTGGTGTTTTGTTTGGGGTTGGTCTTTTGTTGTTGGGGTTTTTTTGGTTTGTTTTATTTATTTTTTTTTTAAATTTGTTTTCCAAGTTGTTACCACAGCAGCAATACTCATCTCCTGATGGAAGATAGAGACAGCAGCTTTAAGGAATGAGTTGTCTAGGTTCAAAAGCATGCCACTGCAAAAGTTACCAGGAAGGTAATAATCATTCGCACAAAAAAAATGTGACTTTGTTGATCCTGGAACATTTGAGAAAAATAGGTAAATTCCTGCAGTTGCTCTAGGATCCAGAAATTATATGAATGGAAATGTACCAAATGGTGAAACAAAACAGGAACAAACAAAGCAGCTGGACTCATTAACTATAGAGCTCTAAAGCAAGATCATGCCATGCTCCATGTATATGCTAAACGCACATTGGAAGAAACCAAGATCCAATACATTTTTCCCCATTTATTGAACCTGGACTCATTGCTGAGGAAGACACTGGCTCTTTGAGAAATATAGCATACAGCAGACAAAACTGAAGAGCAAATCTTGCTGATGCCAAGTCATAAGTGAAAAATTATATCCTCTGCAAACATGCCACAACAAAGCAGACCATCCGTAACACCTCATAAGGATTTTCGTGTCTAAGAAATGAAGGAACTGAAATTAATTTAGGGACTGTTTGTTTTAGCATCTGGCAGCAACCAGACAAAGCAACTCTGTTACTGTTTTATGCATGTTTGTACTTTTCACAATCTGCACGTGTCAAAATTATATTGTTCAAACTGCATTAGCAGAGCTCCTCTGAGTGGTAGAATGGACAAGAATTATTCTACGATACTTTAAGGTTTCTGTTATTATATGTTCAGAAGCTTTTCTTTTTATTAAAGAGATCTGTAGTATTTTTATGAGGTCAGAAACTCTTGTGTGCTCAGTTGTGTATAGTTTATATCGAATACTGCCATTTAAAATATTCTTCAACTCCTTAATTAATATTATGATAACAGAATCACAGCCCCTCAGCCTGTAGTGGCATTAACATGCTACAGGAATACTAATTGTCACATAAATTCAAGATGAGAAACTCCCAGTGAAACAGCTTGATGTACCTCTTCTTTAAATACCAGTAGACTGTGGCACAGCCAAATCCTGTAGCCAAGCTGATATGTGACTGTGGCAGAGGAAGAGAAGAGAGGAAGGTGGGACTGCAGCGGCTGTCTTGCCAAGTAATCAGATGACTGACCTCCTCTGGCTCAAAGGTAGGGCCTGTACCACACTCTGTCCACTTGCAACCTGGAACACATAGCATCCAAGAAGTCCAGTGATTCCCTACAGCGTAGTCTGCCTGGCATTCTTCATTTCTGGATGCTCTTGATAATTTGTCAAATATATTGGAGAAAGAGCAGAAACAGAGACAGTAGTGATTGTAACTGAATTAATTAGTCATAGTTTTCAGCACTAGATAACATAATGCCAGCCATCCTTTGCTAAGAGAATAGTATCCAAGGCCTTCCTTCTCTGTAACAGTCCTACTGCCCAGAGGAACAAGCAACTTGCACCTTGAGATATTAACGATACAACTTAAATAACAGGTGACCCACCAAAAAAAAAAAAAAAAAAAAAAAAAAGAAATCACAGTTCTGCCATGGGAGGCAATGAGCTGATATAGAATCATAGAATCATTTAGGTTGGAAAAGACCTTTAAGATCATCAAGTCCAACCATTAACCTAACACTGCCATCCCACCACTAAACCCTGTCCCTAAGCACCTCGTCTGCTCAGCTTTTAAGTACCTCCAGGGATGAGGACTCAATTGCTTCCCTGGGCAGCCCATTCTGATGCTTGACAGCCCTTTTGGGGAAAAAGCTTTTCCTAATGTCCAACCTAAACCTCTCCTGGCACAACTTGAGGCCATTTCCCCTCATCCCATTGCCCGTTACCTGGGAGCAGAGACTGACCCCCCCAGATCCCCGCTCCTGTCAGGCACTTGTAGGGAGCGATAAGGTCTCCCCTCAGCATCCTCTTCTCCAGGCTGCACACCCCCAGGTTCCTCAGCTGCTCCCCATCAGCCTTGGGCTCCAGACCCCTCCAGCCACAGCCAGGATCGCCAACCCTGCTGCTGGTCCCCCACTACTCCAATCCCACATCACCCCAGCCCCACACCACCCAACACTGTACCTGCTCCCACAGCCACCCAAGCCCACCTCACCCAGGACCACAACACCCAAACCACCCCTGCACCCCCAACCCACGCCCTCCCCACATCATGACCTAAGAATGCTGTATCAGTAATGAACTGTCTACGATGGATAAAAACGTAGTTTCATCACCTTTTGAGCCAAAGCAACAGAAAACACAGATCTATATGTATTAAGCAATGGACAGCAAAGTACTAAAGAGTATCCCTCCCCTGCACTATGCGACAAAGCTTCACCAAAGTTAGAACAGGGTTTAACTCAGTTTTCAGTTTTACCAGTCCAGCACATTCCTTTTGAACACAGAACACTATGCCTT